AATGCATTTATCGTTATTTACCATTCTCAAGTTTGGACCAGTTGCAAAATTATCGACAGCCAAACCATTCTTATTATCGACGGATTTTGAAGAATATTTAATTCAAAAGCAAATAAATGCAAAAATCGAACTAGTCAAAGGTATAATATATCAAGTGACTATTAATTAGTACGAAATAGAAAATTCAAAATTTAAATTATATTAATAATAATAATAGGAATCACCGAGTTGGAATTATGCCTGTTGGTCGCTATCCAACATATTGATATGAGGCAAACCCCTACATTCAACTTTTGCATGGTCTACGAAGAATACAAGAATTTCATGAATGATCTTGCAGTTAAAGGAAAAAATATGAGAATGCGTAAATGGGACGCCGCTCTAAAATCCTTTGAGCATTTAATGTTAATGGAACTTATCACTCCTATGGAAGGTGTGATGAAGAGTCGAAAAGAATATAGAATGATGCGAGTATTGTTAGAGCCTAATGAAATCTTTGATGCTGTATCAAACCACAAAGGTTGTCCACTTGTTATAAAAAATTGGAGTCAGTCATCAAGATTATAGTTCCGTGCTCTTGCATAGTTATCCTAATAATGGTTCTTTTCATCTCATTCATTTTATTTAATTCCATTGACATGTTGGGAGAAACCCTCGAAAGTTTATATTTTACTCTTGGATAATAATTATAACATTTGAACAAACTTATCACTATGATGATTCGATCGATCCTTTGGGTTTAAATCAACAAATACACAACCCTTTCTATATTTCACTTGTCACATTCTAATCTAATCAATATTTTGACTCGTATCGTTCGTTATATTGAATGATCGCCTTTTTTTTCGCTTGTAAATTTAGTGCAACCGCAATATAAAATAATTGTTTTGCTGATTATTATTATTTAATAAATCTTTAGCATGGTTCTGGGAGATGCCGAAATTCTGCTATAGACAAATTATTGGTTAAGAAAAGTGAAAAAGAAAGCTGCCAAATGTTACTTCTGTAGCTGATGAATCGGTAAAACTTTATTTTCATCTTTACAATATAAAAATAAGGACGAATCTATTTGTCGTCGCGGCGACAATACCAGATTGTGAAAATGTCCTTTATGAAATTTTATGAAAAATATATGCTAACAAATTCGGTGTTTTGTCACGGGCGGCGATAAATACATGTGCATCGAAGATCTAGTTTTTTGGCTAACTATTAATCCCAAACATAAATAATTATGTAGCGATAGAAGTTCTTGAAATGTAGTCAAATCCTGAAGCGGTCGGGCTATTAATAAAAATTCAATTTATCGAAGTTGATTTTCTGAAGCCGACTTCGGCTTGTCTGTCTATTTCTTCGAGTATTAACTAAGAGTATTTATATTGCTATAAGAATTTATATTTGTGTATATCTTTAATGTCCTTTTTCCAAACAATCATTTATTATTGTCTGTATACATATTTATATCTCATTATAATAAAGATCAGAGATCAAACATTTGACTTTACTAAAACAAGATTTGAGTGTAACAAGAGAAAAAATTCACCTAAGAAACACTGACCGAATCCACTGCAATCCTCTCATAACATCCCTCCTTTGCATGCTGATCAAAATACGCTCCTCTATGACACGCATATTCAGGCCGAGTATCCTTTCCATCCCCCAAATCAGACGCATATTCAAGTGCAGCATCCAAATCATCAAACGCCGCATACATTTGCACGCAGTTATCCTTGCGATAATCCAAATATTCATAAACGACATACATTGTCGAAGATAGTCGATAATTTTGCAACTGGTCCAAACTTGAGAATGGTAAATAACGATAAATGCATTA